GGTTCGTATGTGTCAATATTTATTATAAAATTCATATCTCAATCGGATAAAATTTTGGTATTTATAGAAAAAAAAAATCAGTAATTTTTTTTCATTTTTTTATTGCACAAAAATTGGCTGCCGTTGGATTGGAGAAAAAAATTTGATCGTAGAGCCCAGAGCGCGACATGTGGACTTTAGCAACACTGTAGTGCGTAGCACTGTAGCGCGTGGAGCACTGTAGCGCATGGCACTGTAGCACGTGGAGCACTGTAGCGCATACTGTAGCGCTAACATCGCGTATGACGTCATCCAACCCGCGAGTTGGACCTCGGGCTGAACTGGCCTTCGGGCCAGCCCAACTTGCTGGGACCTGCACCTTGTCCGTGCTTGGGCTCACCGCTGGAAACTCCTTTTTTTGGTTTTCTCCCCCCAACCTTGGGCTAGGCTCATGGCTGGAACTGCTCTAACACTTTGGCAAAACTGTGCTTGGGCTGTAGTGGCCCAATGCAAGATTTGGAAAAAGACAAGATTTGTTATAAATTTTAATAAGCTCCCCTTATTCCCACAAATATTAGCCCATTCCCTCATGCAAAATTAAAATCCTAGTTGTGATTCAACTTGTATAAGCAAAGAGGACGAAATGAGCAAAATCAGGAGCTCGCAAACCTTAAAAAAGCTCCTCGTGTAGTGTATACCTTATTTTCTCTTGGATTAAAAATGACGTCATTAAAGCTCGCATCATTTTGTCTAAATGTCCATTTTTATTTTCTATGTCTTTGGTTTGTGCAATCTAATCTTTAGTTTTAAAAGTAAGTCAAATATACAAATTGAACTTAAACTTCAATCCAATTTCAGGATTCCATTCTAATTAGCCAAATGTCATAGCATATCTAATTTGAATATACTTATTCTTTTTTTCAATTTTTATCACCGTAAATATTTATGTGATGCTTGACAATATGTAATTTGTTTTTGTCTATTTTAATATGTACTTGTTTGTGTTAATGTTGGAAAATGAATGAACTTGTTTGGCTTATAAACTTTTACTATAATATTTGAAGAATAATTTTTTATAACATAGAAGCAGCATAAAAAAATAATAATAACCCACCCCAATATAAATTTCTGGTTTCACCTTGTTTCTGATTCCACTTGTTTCTACAACAAGGTGTTTTTCTAAAGTATTAAGCTGGAAGGTTTTTTTCTCTAAATTATAAAGTTTTCAAGGACTTATATTGCTGGGATTCATAAGAGCATTCACAATGGGCTAGTTGTTGATGTTAGCTATCCTAATTAATCAAGGTAATTTATTTCCTTAATGAATTAGGTGATTTACTTCCTTATTTTATATGGTTGACATATCCTTGTATAATTAAGAGATATTCTCCTAATTGATTACTGTATCTATTTCCTTGTAAAGCACTCTTGTAAATTCTTATATATACCTCCTTATAGAGAAGAATACAATTAACCCAAAGTATTCAAACCATATTCATATTTTAGCAGGGTATCAAAACAATCGGTCCTATGTTGTCTCTAATCCCTCAAATCACACCCTCAAATTCAAACCCAAACCCTAAATCAAATTCCTTACCTCTTAAATCAAATCCTCTTATCAAACTCCTTAAACACATACCTCTCAAATCAAATCCCTAAATCAAATTCATACATCAAATTCCTCAAATCAACTCCTTAACCACAAATACACACTCATATCAACTCTTACTTGCGCTGTGATGTCAAGATCCCCTATGATTCGTTCCCTCCTTATAGACTCACAGAAGCATGCGGTCACTCCTGCTGAACCAACTACCCGGGCTCGTGCTTCTATCGCCACTACCAAATGTTCTGCTTTTCATATGTCCTCTCCAAAGCCCACATGAATTATTGACTCAACTATTGTAGATCACATGACATTTGATCTTGGCCAACTTATTAGTCGCAAACCAACCACTCCGTCGGTGATGTCTAATGCTAATAGTACCCCCTCCCTTGTGGTTGGGGAGGGTTCTCTATCTCTCTCTAACTCCATACATC